TCTATCATGTTATGTTCGTAAAAATATAAAAACTTTTCATAACTTTTCATAATGCAGACTTGTTTCGCACACCGAAACATTTTTTGTCTCTATATAAAAAATCCCCCTTTTACGCAGGGTTAAAAATATATAACAATCTTCCTAAAAATATTAAACAGCAACCAAATAACAATTTATTTCAAACATCACTCAAAAGTTTCTTGCTTAAAGAATGTGTTTATGAAATAACAGACTTTATTAAATAAAACTTTAGCCCACACCTAATTCTACACCTTATTTTTACATCTGTCTTTCATGTATGTACGTACTTTGTATTATTTATATATTAAGATTTAGCTATAGTCATGTTATTGTTCTTTTTTTGACCTGTCATATCTATATTGTATACTGTATAGCTTGTATGACCAAAATAAATGAAATGAAATGAAATGAAATAACACCATGTATATTTTTACTTAATCAAATATAAAATTAAAAAACCTGATATGGATCCTAAAACATTGTTTAAAAGATTCCATATTAATTTTTAATATTTCTCAACAAATTATTTGAGAAAAACCATGACAAATTAGGGTATCTTGAAACGTTAAAAACTTTTTATTTTAAATGTAACACCATGTATATTTTTACTTAATCAAATATAAAATTAAAAAACCTGATATAGCTATTCCCTATACCTAAAGTTAATAATTTAAAAGATATTTAACAATTTTAAATATTTTAAATATTATTTTGTACCTATTGTATCTATGGTTACTTCGTAATCTAAAATTCAAAAGAAGAACTAAGAAACCGTGTTCAGGCTGCTTTTTTCAAGAATTAGACCCAGAAGAGTTAAGAAGAGCAACGTTCTCCAATGAGCTTGGGCTTCATCTAGTTGATATACCTATTCCAGCTTTGTTGATTTTTTTTTAAATTAGCTAATACTGATGGTATTACTTTTAAATTTTAAAAATGTTTAGCATTGTCAAAGTTACTACCTGCTATTTTTTATCAGTAATTTTGTTTACAAAACACTTAATTAGTCAACAAATTGTTTATAACAACCAGAAAAATTGACGCCATTAAATGTTAAACAATGACAGATTACGTGGTAACCATAGATACCTTCAACTCACCCGTCAAAGGTTTCCTGATACAAAATAATATTTAAAATTTTAGAAATTGTTAAATATCTCTGAAATTATTAACTTTAGGTATAGGGAATAGTTAAATTAATCAAAAGGATTTTTAATTTTCTATTTGGTTATGTAAAAACAGAGTATTACATTTAAAATAAAAAAGTTATTAACGTTTCAAGTTAGCCTAATTGGCCTGGCTTTTCTCAAGTAATTTGTTGAGAAATATTAAAGAATTATTATGGAATCTTTTAAACAATGTTTTAAGATTCAAAAAATTCTAGCCTAATATCCGCAAACCTAATAACAAAAAAGTTATGGCCTATTTTTGACGCGCATTTGCCAAATTTTAACGAAAAAAATGAATAACTCAAAAACTATTTACTTTAGGTATAGGACATGGTATAGTAATTTTACTCAGAATTTAAAAATATATGGGGTGTTCCATTTAAAATAACAAAGTTGTTCTCACTTCCGCTTAAACCGGAAGTGGAATTTTGTTTAAAACATTTTATAAAAATGTACTAAGATGGATTATAAACGCTTTTCAAATTTTAAGTTGATATCTTTTTCCGTTCCCCAGAAACTTCTAATGTACCACGAACGTGAAACAGCCTGTATACAATTATATGTAAAAGGCATTAACTAAAAAAACTATTTTTTTTTCTTTGGATCATCGACTGCCATTACCTTTTCGACATTTAACTATACATTTTTTTAATTTTCTATAATTTAATTTAACAACAATCGACTGCCATTACCTTTTCGACATTTAACTATAAGTACATTTTTTTAATTTTCTATAATTTAATTTAACAAGCTCAGCAAGCTGAGCTTGGTGCTCGCTGCGGGTGGAAATCGCGCCGCGACCGGTCCACCTGGAAACGTGGCATGTTTGAAAAATTAAAAAGAATTTAAGAAATCCGGTCCAACCTGGCAACGTGGCTAGTCGAACGCCTTTGATCCCCCTAAAATCATTTAAATCTCGCTTGTTTTGTCAATTTTAATGTTTCTTTTATTCTGGGAATTTTTACAAAACATGGCAAAGTAGAACTGACGTCGATTTACTATAAAACGACTGGTCACTCGGATATCTGGAAACCAAAATTATCCCAAGGCCCTTCTTTCTTACATGTCATCTGTCAATTGTCATCTGTCAATTTTCATCTCACCTGTCATTTGTCATCTGTCATTTGCCACCTATCATCTGTCACCTCTAATCTGTCACATGTCATCTGTGATCTGTCATTTCTTATCTTTCACCTGTCACCTTCCATCTGTCACCTGTCATCTTTCACCTGTCATCTGTCACCTGTGTTGTGTCATATGTCAATTTCCATTTGTCACATCTGCACCTTTTATCTGTCACAAGTCATTTGTCATCAGCTATTTGTCATCTGTCAACTTTATTTCTGTCAACTTGACATCTGTCACCTGTCATCTGGCACCTTTTATTTGCCACCTTTCACCTGCCACCTGTCATCTGTCATCAGCTATTTGTCATCTGTCAACTTTATTTCTGTCAACTTGACATCTGTCACCTGTCATCTGCCATTTCTCATCTGGCACCTGCCACTTTTATCTGTCACCTTTTATCTGTCACATGTCATCTGTCATCTTTCACCTGTAATCTGTCAACTTGACATGTGTCACTTGACATGTGTCACCTGTTCACTTGAACCCTGTCAAAGTGTTGATGAAGACTTTGTTGGGTCCCCCGGTATACAATTTGCAAAAAAAATTAAATCGACTTTAATCCACCCGATAAACGAATTTCTTTAATTATCTTTTATTAAATTTGACAATGCCCGCCTTGTTGCCCAATATTTTGTTGGATCCCCCTGTTTTCGATTTGATTTCGGGGATTAAAATTGGTTAACTTTTTTAAATACCCAACAAAAAATAAACGGGGTTTCGGCCGATTAGTTTTCATTCGATGAAGCTCATCTTTTAGTATGTCAAACTTTGGTCTTTTACCCGTCGATTTGTATATTTCGTTCGGCCAATTTCGAAAATTTCTCTCGCCCTACTAAATGTTTGAAAATTTTTCGAAAAAAATCAAAAAAAGATCGCTGCTCGAAAAGATTCCGGCGGATCCGCCCTGTTTGCAATAAGAAACGAATTATCGTTCCGAAGCACCTTTTCCTCGAGTTTGGCCGAAAAATCTCCGCTCGTGCGATTTCAACGGAAAGGGAAAAATTTGATGGAAAAATGGAAAAAAAATGGACTTGGGCCTTTTTGACACCGGAAACATTTGGTCCCCCGATAGGTCTCGTGGGCAAAAAAAAGGATGCAAATTTCGAGGGTCCACCTTCAACGGCCTCCGAGCTACGGCCGCCGCGGCGGTTCGAAGAAAACCGATACACAGACAGACTCACAGGCTCACAGACAACGGAAAAAAATTAAGAAGTTAAAATTTGATTACGAGTCGATAAATACCTTTGAAGTTGCCGTAGCTGCCCTCCTTGTCACTTTTTTGCGATCCGCTGCTCGCGCTATAGGGAAGCACGCTTCGCGCGCTTCCCAACTAGGTATTTAATTTTAATTATAATTTTTATCCTTTTATCATTTTCAAATAAATAAGGTAGTAGGTATAATCAAGATGGGGTGTATTATCTTTGGGTATAATAACTTAAGTTTCGTTTGACATAACAACATATTCTATTAAATGTTTTGATATTCTGCTTAGTCATGAGCTGACCTATTAGTCCTTCCAAGGATATCGTTGACTTTTGGGACACCTGTATATTATTGAATAATAGTCTAAATAAATATTTTGCTTTTCTGGCAACCAAATTATATTACTAGACTTAAATATATTGAATTTTAAATAATTCTTCTTAAATTTTGCTGAGTTTGTAAGAGATGATCTATAAGTATTAAATATTAGACTGGGCCAAAAAAATGGACTATTTTTTTTTTTGAAAAATATATCGAGAATGTCGTTCAGAATGACAAATGAAAAATTTCGTGAAAATTTGAGCCCTTAATATTAATTTTAAGAGGTCTATCATCGCTATTTTTGATTTTTAGTCATAATTTGATGTTTTACGTTAGAACTGTCAAAACATTAAAGTGATAAAAATTCCTTTTCACTTATTTTTATATAAAATTAAATTCTCTACAAAAAAGGTCTGATTGAAAATTTTCGTCAGACGAGCCGTTTCCGAGTAATTGAGCCTAATAAATCGATGTGTTTCTTCGATTTGCCCTTTTTACTTTGAAATTTTGTAACTAATGAATCAATGAATATTTTAAAAAGCTCACGTCGGATTCTTAAAGGAAATTTAGTGTTCTACAAAAAAGGTCTCTTAACATATTTGCCTAAATTTAATTCTACAAAAGTTATTCACGAAGAAAAAATTGAAATTTTAAGTTTTTCTTCGATTTTAATCGTGAATAACTTTTGAAGAATTAAATTTAGGCAAAAATGTTAAGAGACCTTTTTTGTAGAACATTAAATTTCCTTTAAGAATCCGACGTGAGCTTTTTTAATATTCATTGATTCATTAGTTACAAAATTTAGTAAAGTAAAAAGGGCAAATCGAAAAAACACATCGATTTATTGAGCTCAATTACTCGGAAACGGCTCGTCTGACGAAAATTTTCTATCAGACCTTTTTTGTAGAGAATTTAATTTTATATAAAAATAAGTGAAAAGAAATTTTTTTCACTTTAATGTTTTGACAGTTCTAACGCAAAACATCAAATTATGACTAAAAATCAAAAATAGCGATGATAGACCTCTTAAAATTAATATTAAGGGCTCAAATTTTCACGAAATTTTTTATTTGTCATTCTGAATGACATTTTCGATATATTTTTCAAAAAAAAAAAAAAGTCATTTTTTTGGCCCAGTCTATTAAATATATATTTTTTTAGATATCCAGACATAGAAGTAAGAACATTGGCAGTTAAACTAATTTGTGGATTTCATATCGATGAACTAATTTATTATTTACCTCAGTTAGTAGTGGCCTTAAGATTTGAGACTTACAATACTTCAAGTCTGGCTCATATGTTGTTGGAATTTTCTTTACGGTCTCCAAGATTTTCACATTACCTCTTTTGGATACTGAGTCACAAACTATCTTCAATTGTAAGTAAATAATTTTAATTTATGACCGTAATTTTATATATTCATATGTAACGGGTATACATCAGTTTAATCGGTTAAAGTTGGAGATTACCTAGGCGTTACATGCAAAGTAGTTAAAGATCTGTTATTTACTTACAATACAATTTAATATTAGGTAAAACATAAATAAACTTAAACTAACCAACAAACCAACCCAACCAACCAACCAAGTTTTAGCCAGTTGCGCGTGTAAAACTATTTGTACTTAAACTGCAAAGCCCGGGTATTCCACACTTTAACCGGTTAAAGTTAGGTTTGCCCGTACTTCTTACTTTAACTGTGACATATAGACATAGTTTCAAAAGTTCAAAATAGGTATAGAGATAAAAGTGAAAGGTCAGTTATATGAAAAAAATGTCAGGAAGAAATGGATAGCGTTTATCGAAAAGGATAAAGCGCCAAAAACTTTTTCTGGGGTATTATTTGCAAAATAACTAATTTTTAATGCTGCTCAAAAAATTAATATTGATTTGGGAACCCTCTCAATCCTTTTGAGAAAAGTTCCAAATGATTATCAACCTTTTGAGCAATATTAAAAATGAGTTATTTTACAAATAATTTTACTAAGCCCAAAAAAACTTTTTGGCGCTTGGTTCCTTTTCGACAAGCGTTATCCAAATAATAAAAAATGTATGGTACATGTGATCCATAACAATTATGAAACTATATACAGTGTGTAACCGAATAGATACGGTGAGAATAATTCCCACCTCCTCTCATGCGCAGAGAAGTGGTGGGGAGCACAGCAAACGAAAAATTATAGAAGTGTATAGGATGACTCCGCGTTTGAATATCAAATCTTAAAGTTTTATCATAACTGTATTGAATCGTGCTTTGTTTTTATATTTTTCGGCTCTATACCTATGCCCGACTATATTTAAAGTCAAACTCAATGGTGTCTTACAAGATACATTATTTTGATTTTCTATATTCAACAGAGGAGTAGAAACTCGACCCTGTCGAATGGTGCAGTCATATATGTCTCTAGAAATTATTAAAAAAGGGTTCAGTCCAGTGGTGCAGCAACTTCGGATTCCTATTCTCCTCAGAGACATAGAAACTCAAGCTTTTCGAATTTTACTGGCAATGATTTTCGTTAATGTCCCCGAGAATTATACAAAAACAGCGCAATGCAATATCGCAACGGTTTCGACTTCTCTTTACTCTACCAAGTTATAGAAACTGGAGTCTCTCTAATACTGTTCTAGTCAATATTTCTGAGAGTATAAAAAGAGGGTGTAATATTGCAAGAAGTTTTGATCTTTTGATGGATGAATTTTCTCATTTCTCCATATGATTTTGTTGAAAATATATATAGTTCCTTTCTTTGGTTCCTTTGTCTGATTTTTATTTACCGTAACAACTCAGGTATGTAAAGCACAGAGGATATGATGTTAAGTATATTTATGTATTATATAAAGTACCTATATATATTTGTATTAAAAATTTAAGAGGTTATGTTGAAAAATGATCGATATGCTATTAAACTTTAATAATTTAGTAATTAGGTCTGTTGGTAGACCCTGCACTATCTCCACTGGTATATGTTAATTTTGTAATATTTAAATCTGGTTGATGAAAAAGTACACACCAGTGCAGGTTATTGTATAGCATCTACGAACAAATGAATTAATGGCCCATTGGCAATTATTCCTTTAGGAAAAATATTCAACACATGTGTTGCTGCAGCTTAATTAATTAATAAAATAAAAAAAATCACTATCATGTCGTATATAGTTTTTTTTAAGCATAAAATAATTTTTATATTAATACTAGTTCAAAAGTGAAATTACGACCTCTATACTGTGGAGAGTATTGAAACGCTCGACTGACGAATACAACTCTATACCGTAGGGAGATTTAGAAATCGATATTCAAACGTGGCGTCATCCTATACACCTCTATAATTTTCCGTTTGCTGTGAGTGGTTGTTTAACGAAAGTCTAGTATACCGTATATTTTTGTTTGGGAATTCATAGTTAATTTTTCGTTTGTTTTAATGCTTTCTGCAAAAAATACAAAAATACAGAGTATTTGCCCTTTGTACTTTACTTCTTATGACGTTTAAAACACTTGCCACGTAATACTGTGACCGTCCATCCTGGATTAAATTAATAGCTCTGGCAACATCAGTCGGAGACATATCCATTTTATAAAGTAAGAAGACACCTCAAAATTTAAACATTAATTTGCAAAAAACAATTTGATAGCTTTTGAAAGCCGTGTATGACATGTCCAAGTATGGGATGATTCAACAAAACTGTCACTGTCATTCTCCATAGCCTATGGATGGACCATAGCCACCTTAGTTCTTCATACAGAAAAATATTGGAAATCGCAATATTTTTTAAAAAAATCCATATTTTCCACAAAAATAAATATATCGAGGTGAACCAAAAACAAAACTGTTAAGAATAGATGTGACTTGATAAATAAAACTTAATTTATAACAATATACGGTTTTGCCACTCTACAGAGTGTCTTAAACTTATGGTAAAAAACATCTTTTTGTTTAAACCTGTATATTATAAAAGTACGTCTATTTTTTAGTATTTTTTTAAAATGTAAGCGATTGTCCATTAATTTATCTACAATATTATTTAATATTCGTTTAAATCCGACATCAATTAAAAAAGTTATTTGCGATTGAAATTCATCGAAAATTTGTGTGGATCGATTATTTTGCACCTGAGTGTATATATATACAACATCGCGTAGTTAAACATTGGTAGATTTATTCTTTTCATGACAACATATCGCATATGAGCGATAACAGTGTCAACTGTAGTAGTAAAACCTTAATTGCGAAATAATGACCGTCAAAGATTTTTGAATAATCACATATTTGTAAAATTATATTAAATTACCGTATTTTCTTTGCAAGGAAAGAACCAAACTAAGATTCTGAGCCAGTTAAAAATTAGATTTTAGAAAATACTCTTTTTGGATAAGAGCTATTTGTAGATATGTCTGTGTTGCCGAAGAAGGTTGCTGTTGCTGAAAATATGTGCATGAATTTTGCAGATATGTCTGTATTGCTAAAAATGTGTTGATCAATTATTTATTAATCTTTTATTGTTGATTATGAATATGAGGTATTATGACTGGCCCCATCAGCAATGCCTTACACTGATTTCCCAGGGATATTTTACCCCCTTTCAGTTCTCCTACGTATCCCGCTCTAAACAGAATTGCCTGTGTTTGGTGTATACGATTTTTTTTACCCCGTCTGGTAAATCTCGCCTAGGAGGTCGTGGATGACAGTGTCGATGGTTAAAGCTTCTCCAAGAATTTTGTCGCCGGGCCGGGCCATACTCCCGATTTAGGCTAGGGGAGTGCGGACAAGGAGGGAAACATTTTGGGTTTTGAGGGACATTGAATTAACCCAAAACTAAGTACAATCCGGGGTCCCCCTCAACCAGGGATTTAGTAATTAGGGTTTATAAATGGGACTTGGTTGGTTAGTACGCTGCTAGGACCTATCCTTGCTGGTCTTGAAGTACTTCCTGTTCGTGTGTGTCCGTGTCTATGTCCGAGTCGGATTCCGAGCTTGCTGACTATCGATAACGTTGCACCCCACTGTGCGGTTGTTTATTATTTCGGATAGAAGGTAATTTATGGTTCCCTTAAATGTGCTTAGTAATCTACTTATTTCTTAAGGATGAGTTTTTTTTGCCTAGTGTTTATCTGAACTTGAGTGTTTAATGACTGCTTATAAGCATAAATAAATGTGATCCCTTATTTATGAGTTTTTTGGCTATGCTTGCGCTTCTTATGGAAACTGTAGGCGACTAATTAATTTTTACATGGTGGAGTTTTTTATAAGTTGAGATTGCGAATTTCGGATTAAAATTTAGTATTTGGGTATTATTAAGGTTATCCAATTTTGGTAGGTTTACTTATCCGGTTTATGTAGATTTTTCTTTTGCCTAGTGTTTATCTGAACTTGAGTGTTTAATGACTGCTTATGTGAGCCCTTATTTATGACTTTTTTGGCTATGCTTGCGCTTCTTATGGAAACTGTAGGCGACTAATTAATTTTTACATGGTGGAATTTTTTATAAGTTGAGATTGCGAATTTCGGATTAAAATTTAGTATTTGGGTATTATTAAGGTCATCCAATTTTGGTAGATTTACTTATCCGGTTTATGTGGACTTAATCCAAGAGGAGGTGCCACATGCAATTTCCACCCTTTTTGCACTTGGTTCTGGTAGATTACGTGTAGACTCATTAATTGATTTTATGAATTTGAACACCAATAGCGGTGGCAGCCCTATGGAAGTACGAACGCGTTAAACGAGACCCTAGATACACGACCGTTTGCCTTTAGGTGAGGAGCGTCACTTATTCATTCTTTTATTGTTGACAACTATAACTTTACTAACTTACTCGTAGCTACGCTAACAAAATTACTGTCACAACTTACAGGCAACTTATTATGACACTGTTGATGAAAATAAATCGTTCATTTTAATCAAGTATGTATCGATCGATTTTTTTTTTAAATTTTTTTGAAAAAACTATTGTCGATTTATTAAATGTTAAACCTAGTCCGGTAATGGGAAAATATTTTGTTCTATTTTTTTTTTTTATTTACCTAGGTATTTTATTTTTTGTCTTGGACATTAATTTAAAAAAAAGTGTTGTGCTTAGGGGCTGTACAAACAACTTTAATTTATAATTTCAATTTTATTATTAAAGTATTAGTTTAAATAACATACAAGTCCAATAAAAAAAGGGCACCAAAGAAGACGGAAGATCTTCTGTCTCTCTCTCTTCGACACCGTCCGCGAACGCAGTAGCACGCGGTTACAATAACTCTCTTTGGAAATTAGCAATTTTGGTGTGTGAAAATCGTTCTAAAACTAGAAATATGAAAAGCTAAATATATGTATGTGGAAGTGCAAACCTGAGGAACCTGGAAACGAAAGGGCCCTTTACTCCGTAGAATACTAAAAA